AATAATTAATAATTAATAAAACAATTGATATTTAAATTTATTAAATAAATTAATATTTATTATTTAATAAATTAAAATTAATTTATAAATAAATATTTCTAAATATCATACTAATTATTATAGGAAAAAATTATAAACAAATAAAATTATAGATAAATTACTAATCTTAACAACTTGAATGATGATAATAATCTAACTTAGGCGTTAAACCTATACTTCCCTTCTTCTTTTTTCACTTTTTTTAATAGAAAATTAGAAAAAGCTCAAAAAATCAAATACCCATCTAAAAACAAAGAGATACCATGAAGGCAATTGTAATTAAGTCATACTAAAAAATAATATATATACAATATGATACATTATATATATGAATGAATCTCAATGACCATGCACCATTGAAATTTAAATTTTAAGTAGAAAACGGTCCCCTTGAAGAATAGTGACCTCTCTCTCATTTCAAAAGACCTAAAGTTGTGCAAGAAATGCGACACAAAGGTCTAAAAACACAAATTCGGCCCTTGAACCTTTTGTAGATCTAGCAAGTACTCCTCCTCTCGAGTTCTATAAAGCTGTTAACAACAATGCAACCAAAACATGTTAGTATTCAATTGGTAATTTCACAAGTTTTGCTATAAATTTATCTGTTGGAGTGGAAGGTTTTTGAAAACAACTACCAAATAACAATCCAATCATCCATTACTGCCATTTAAATGACTTGCAAGACCAAAAATCACAAGGGACTTTCTCCTATAGGCATTACCTGCAGCTTAAACTTGACGAAATTTGGTGATTGAATAATCCCATCATTCTCAATAATGCTTGAAACAATACATAGGCAAACAATGAAATTGAAAACAAGAAAAAACAAATTTCATGTAGCAGAAGTTAGATCTAAGCCAACTTATATTAAGACTCAGAAACTCTCAAACTAAACGCAAAAAGAGGAGCTATCAACACAATCAAAGATCACACATTGAGTGACATCAAAACTGGGTCGATTTGAATGGCGAAAAAGCGTGAAATCAAGCATTGAATAGACGGATTTAGAAAGGAACCCGCGTACCTAGTAGAAGATCCCAACGTTAGGATTGGGAATTTGGGGAAATTGGGATCAAGTGCCCGGGAGAGTGAAGTAGAGATTGGGTTTCGCATAGGAGTGAAGGATGTTGGGAATTAGTTTGGGCTTTTTTGGGCATTTAGATTTTTCATTTCAAGGATTTGCGAAATGAATTTGTTCTCAATTCCCAGAAATGTTTCGGACAATTCAATCAAATGGCGTTT